ATCCATCAGCCAACCGTTGCGAGACGCGCGTAAGCCAGAGGAGACGCCACGGCACTAACGATGACGCTTCTCCGCGACGCGGAGCATCGTCCTCACGGGCACCACCACCACCTCGGCGACGTGCGGGGGAAGAGGCTGTTCACGGGCGATAGTATGTAGCGAGGTTGAACGTCGGCGGAGACTGGCACTCGATGACGGTGACGGCGACGGCGACGGTGACGATCAGCAGTTCTCATTACGACGGCTGGCTCATGGGAGCAGCGAGTGGCCGCGGCGTTTGCCTTGCCCCGCGCGGGTCACGAGATGTCCGACAGGCCAAGTGTTTTCGGCGACAGGGACGTACGCGTACGGACGACGGACGACGGTACGTGCGCGTGGGATAACGTGAGGCTGGGCTGATACGCACACTCCTTGGGTCTTCGTAGGAACGAGTATCTCACTCGTGACCGCGCACTACCGACGTGAAAGCCGTCGACTCCACTGACAGGACGTTCTATATATCGGCTGCAGGCGGTTCCTCATATACTCTCGAGTCTGACTCTGACACGACGCGCCGCCTTCAGGTGTGTTCGCTCGATTGGTCGCGGCTCTTCGTTGCTGCTTTCTCATTCGCTGGCGCATTCAAATGTGCTACTTGTGGTCGTTTCGATGCTGACCGCTGATTGGTTCGTTGAGGTTGACGGTTGTTAGATCTTGAAATGCGTCGACCAGAAATTTATAACTCGGCTTATGCGTATATCTTTTTATGACAAATTTTTATTATTGTCAGTACATTTCAGAATCTGTTCAGCAAGTACGTCAATGCTCGTTGTGTATGAATGGAGTATAATATATATATATATATATGCCGTGTTCCAAGATTCACTGTCAGTACTGAAAATATATAGTTTGTGCCACGCAAACTATAACTTTTCAGCGCTGGCAGTGAATTTTGGAACACGGCCATAATATACATATGTGTATGTATATTACATGCATCTTTCGATGTGTTGGAAATTCCATTACTTGGGGTGTGTTCCGTTTCACGCATATGCGCGCATTTATCTATAGTTTATGTCACTTATCTATACAAAATGCGCGCATATGCGTGAACGGAACGCACCCTTGGTCTCTTATATAGTAGAGTTCGCATTGCTTGCACTTTTGACACTTTTGCACTTATGCCCGTTGCACACCAGTGCTGCGATTCTGTAACTCGTTATTGGAGTTAACGACAGTTTCGTTATTGTTGCGCAGCTTTTCTACGGTATACAAAAGCTGCGCAACGATAACAAAAGTGTCGTTAACTCCAATAACGAGTTACAGAATCGCGGTACATCTACGATAAACGGTATCCAATGAGAGCTCTTCTTTTTAAAGAGAGGTTAGTGTGCAACGGGCGTGAGGTATAAAAATGTGAAAAGTGCAAGTAATGCAACAGACCCACAGTCACAGCATACAAACAGTTGAATTATAAATTTTGATGAGAACAATGACGTTAAGAAACATATGGTCTTTTCTTTGTAGCTGCACTGCTGAACTGGTGCAATAAGCTAGAGTGAGAAAACCTATATTTGTCTCACTTTAACTTATTGCACCAGTTCAACAGTGCAGTTATAAAGAACAGACCAATAACTTTAACGATTAAAATACATCGAAGGGAATAAATTTTGACCTTATGTGGGAATTTAAATAACATTATCATTTGTTTATTGGTGACAATATAAAAATGTTAAATTCATTTTGACGATTTAATGTATCTCATAGAAGCACCAAAGACAAATGCACATTCACAACTGTACGTAGTATTCACTGTGACAATAACATTTGAGTGTATATAAAAGTGTACTTGGATGCTGGATCACACGTGCACAAATATATACACTGTACATTGATAAAAATTCTAAAAGGCGCTGTTAAATATTATTTCTAATCACATAGTCTTCCAGAAACTAGGATTCTGTCGAAATCGTCTCTGGAATGTTTCGTACCATACATGCACTGAAGATAGGGGTACAAAGTTTTCCATTGGATTTGGTGTCATTAGTGTCTGATTCACTGTGAAACTTGCCACATAGTTCATGAAATTTGTTAGCATTTTCTCTGCAAATTCTATGAAATTATTGTTTGTAGTGGTAACAAGCATAGCTGCTTGCTGCTCGATTACTGCTAGCGGTTCCACAGATACTCCAATCTGAGCCACATGCGAGATTTTGCCTATCCCAAAAATACCTACATTGCTGTTTTCAAATTCATGATTTTTCTTCAATGTTGATATTTTAAAGATAGCTGATGGCTTATTATTGGAAATATAGCCGAGGAACTGCCAGTTGGGTGGTGCACTCAGATCAGGCCAACTGAAGTATACTGTGAACAATTTCTTGGTCTGAATGATGAATTTTGTTACACGAAAAGATCTGACAATTGTACAAAAAGAAATATATTTTGTACTCTACAAGATTGTATTCCACTTTACCTGCTCCTCCCATGCCATCTGGAAATGGTACAGTACCAGTCAGGAAGACCACAATATGATTTATGTTGTCTGCATCAGGCACATTGATCAAGAACTGGTTTTCTCCGATCTGCTGAAAGTCTGTTTGAACCTGAAAAGCAAAAAGTAAAATATTTTACTTTTATTTTGACACTCCGTAATATATTTATGCTCTACGAATCGCGGTACAGCTGAAGCGTAGCAGAAGAGTAGCATGTAAGCTGATGAGAACAGGATATTATCCCGTAGAAAAAAAGAGAGTGGCATTGTATAATATCTACATTGATCGCGTGATTCGAGATAAATTCGACAATGACGACCGTTGGCTGCGGTGACACACGATCGATAGGAATCTCTACTTACGAATCGTCCAGCCACGAGTATGCCGAGCATTTTGGAAAATCATCTAGATCATTCTATCGTATTCCAATTACCGCAACATGCCGAAGAATCACCGTAAGTGCCGTGTTTATTTCGCAACCGAGTCACTAGTGCACCGAGTACTCTGAGTGTATACACCATCGTTTACCGTGATGCATGCGATTGGATAGAATCAGAACTCCGCGTATCGAATCGCAACGACGTGTTTCCATGAAAACCGAGGTGGTCGAGTCCCCAATTCGATTCGTCGCGATTCGAACCGTGCGCGAATTCATCTCGTCCGCTCTCGCGCTCGTTACCGACGAGATAAGCTAAAGCTTAAGCTAAGACTCCATGCATGCGGTGAGCTGCGGCAAACGGTTGCGGTGACCAATCAGGAGACAGACGCATGCCGGCGCAAGTCCGGAGCTTGCCGCAACCGGACTTGCGCCTCCCTCCTGATTGGTCACCGCAACCGTTTGCCGCAGTTCACCGCATGCATGGAGTCTTAGCTTAAGACTCCATGCATGCGGTGAGCTGCGGCAAATGCTGCGATGACCAATCAGGAGGGAGGCGCAAGTCCGGTTGCGGCAAGCTCCGGCATGCGTCTGTCTCCTGATTGGTCACCGCAGCCGTTTGCCGGAGCTCACCGCATGCATGGAGTCTTAGCTTTACTATAAAGGCTGCGTTCCGATATTCACTGTCAGCATTAAAAATCTATAGCATACGTCACGCAAACTATGTATTTTCAGTACTAGCAGTGAATATCGGAACGCAGCTAATGACTGTTGGTCTAAAGCCCGTGTCACACTACGGATTGAAGATCAAGGATTGCGGATTGAAGATTAGGTTTCGACAAATCGACGAACTTCGGTTTTGATTTACTTTATTCCGATTGGTCAAATTTCAATCTTCAATCCGCAATCCTTGATCTTCAATTCGTAGTGTAACACGGGTTTTACGGGATTTAGCGTACCAGAGAAATTTCGTTGTGCATTAAGCCCGTGTCACACTACGGATTGAAGATCAAGGATTGCGGATTGAAGATTAGATTTCGACAAATCAACAAACTTCGATTTTAATTTGCTTTATTCCGATTGGTCAAATTTAAATCTTCAATCCGCAATCCTTTATCTCCAATCCGTAGTCTGACACGAGCTTTAGCGTCCTTTTAAGCCCGTGTCACATTACGGATTGAAGATCAAGGATTGCGGATTGAAGATTAGATTTCGACGAATCAACAAACTTTGCTTTTGATTTGCTTTATTCCGATTGGTCAAATTTAAATCTTCAATCCGTAGTGTAACATGGGCTTTAGGAATATCGTGGCCGAGATATGAAACATAGTTCGAAATAAGCATGGATGGTAACAGATATGGAATAATGGGAAAAGGACTATTAATACAGAAAATACACATTCATTTAATCCATAATGGAAAAAAATATCAAAGCAGCCAAATAATATTTAGTTATTTCATAAAAATCACTATACTATTTTATCCGTTGCCGAACGTTTTTAACTAAAGCCAGCGGCATACGGTGCTTGTTTTCGTGCTGGATTGCTTGCTGGATGAAAATACTGCGTTCTGATTGGTACATTTCCGAAGATGGATGGAAATGCACCAATCAGAATGCAGTATTTTCATCCAGCAAGCAATCCAGCACGAAAACAAGCACCGTGTGCCGCTGGCTTAACACAATCCTCTATAACCGAAGATTCCCGATCTGTCATAGAAAAGCTATTAGGTAGTACGAATTATTATAAGCATCAACTTTCCTGTCTTATCTATTTTCTTTTTCTTGCTTACGCCTTTCTATGTCTATAAAATTACGTAATACCACCACTGATTCTTCGTCTCTCTATTTACGGAAATTAAGACGATCTTAAATATGAGATCTGACTATGAATACCGGCTCACGTCTTCACGAGCTCTGCAACAATTGTTATGAGACACCCTGTATATGAGGTGTTGCAAAACAATTTTTACAGAGCTCGTGGAAATATAAACTGGATTAAAATAAATATAAAAATCCTATAGCGTTTTTCGATATTCGTAGCAGTTTATTAATTACAGAAATCTGGACGAGTAAAGCCAGCGGCACACGATGCTTGTTTTCGTGCTGGATTGCTTGCTGGATGAAAATACTGCGTTCTGATTAGTGCATTTTCATCCATCTTCGAAAATATACCAATCACAACGCAATATTTTCATCCAGCAAGCAATCCAGCACGAAAACAAGCACCGTGTGCCGCTGACTTAAGCGCTCGCCGAGGTGGACGGAGAAGCTTCGCAATCGCTCGGACCGCTCGGACCACAGCGCGGCCTAATCGATCCAGCAACTAATGGCCGCGTTCAGTAGAATAAAGTGATCAGTGAGCGCTTAGCGATTATTGTCTGTGATTGGAGCATTATTTTAGATTCTTCATAGACCCAGAAGTATTTACCAATCCGGAGCGAGATTCGGTGGAAAATCTAGTAATGTTGTCCAACTGTTGAGTCTACTGAACGCGGCCATTGTCTGCATTAATATATATTAATAAATTTTACGTTTTTTCTTATTTGTAATATTTTTACTTAATTTTATTTTAAATAAATGTCGTAATATATATATATATATTATACTTACACTTATAAAATATTAAGATCGTAAATATTTATTATAAACACGCGCACACATCTGTCAAAAAGATTCAACAAACTGGTAGACTACTACTTGAACAGTGTTACTAATCGACGGAAATTGAAATTAGGTTGCCTAGAGGTTTTCGTTGGTGCCAACATTATCCCCTCTACTTTTCGGGAAAATGTGTAACCATATTTTATGTCATCAACAATACATATATGTATTATATATTAAAAAGAGAACTTTTGTTCTGTAAAAATAGATAATGTGAAAAAAATATTCATAAATAGGTTAGAATAATTGAATTTCCTACTTCGAATATTCTACAAATATATATTTTCATAATTACTTCAAATAAATATTTATAATTTTCCTAAAATTTAACAACTTATTGTTTTTTAATGTAATTATTTAATATTTTACAAAACTTCATTACCTGATAAAATATTGTTGATTATCTCGCACGAACACTGCTAAGTTAGCCTACTCTACTCTACTCTACTCGATTTATCGAACAGCATTGAGTTGTCATAAATCATGAAGATAGTAGATGATCGTGCCTATCATACCTTTCCTAGTGGAACTAACCCGAACTCGACTTATCGTAAACACCCTGCATTATCTTGAGCGTAGCCAAAGCAGTCGTTATTATCATCGCTCTTCGATTACCTCCGGGTCCCTTGGGACCCCCTTGGTCAATACGAAAATTCATCCAGGGTTGACAGTCTTTATATTACCTCGTCGGTGCGCTCGTCGAAACGGATTCGACTCGAATCGAACGCGCTCGGTTCGAGCGCGAATTAATTCCCTCACGTGGGTGGGCCGTGCTCGTCGTGCTTAGGTGGGCAGACGGTAGAAAGCGTGCAAAATTAAGGCGAATAAGACATTAGTAGGCAAAAGCGGAGCAAGTGTAGCGCGCCGCGTCGCACCGCCGCTCCTCGTCGCGCTCTCGTATCCATTCTTTTCGCAAAAGCGCAGGTTCGCTCGCGCGCGCGCGCGCGCGTGAATTCTCTATGCGAGCGAGCGCGGCACGCCTCCGGAGCGTGCCACAGTTTGTTATTTTGCTGCCGATTGCGCAAATCGCCTCCGCGATCTCTTGACAAGACCGTCACCTCGATCTCGATATCGCCCACCGTGAGTATTATCTTACCCTGAGTATTGTTATAATAATCTTGACATATACGTGTCGTATGAGCACATATCGAGATATTCGAGATATTAGACTGATAGGAGGACCCTTTCAATTAGCGAGAAAAAGAGCGAGAGTGCATATATTCTTTCTCATCGGCCCGATATGAACTTCAACTGTGCGTTCCCGCACAGTTTTAAGATGGAACGAGCGAAACGGTGCTCGCGACGGGACGACGCGTGCGTTTACATGTCCGAGAGAAGCCAGTCTTGATCTCCGATTAATCATTCGAGTTGTTCGATCTTGCGCGAATTCGCCGTCAGTTTTGTTCATTTTTTCTGCACCATTCTCTCTTCCCCTCTCCATCAAGTCCATCAAGTTTCGCACAGCTGTGCAGCTGTCTCTTTCTCAAGTTTCGAAAAAGTGCGCATTATTTCTTCACGGAGGAACGAGCTTGTAAAATCCAGAGCCAGAGCGGGACTCGCCGCGATTCTATCGTCGGCACGCGCGAGGGCACTTTTGCGCGCGAAACTTCGATTTTCGAGCGGTGGCAGCCACGCCAGCGCGCTATCGCGCTCACAAACTCCCATACCATATTTGATCAAAAACGCCGCACGACGAGTGGCCACCTTTTACTTCGCCGTGCACGCTCATGCTGGCCGGTGGTGCTACGCTGCGGCCGATCGACGCGTTCTAAATGTTACCGTCGCGCTCCTCCAGCGGCGGCGAGGAGTCCGAGAGAGAGAGAGAGAGAGACAGACAGAGAGAGAGAGAGAGAGAGAGAGAGAGAGAGAGAGAGAGAGAGACAGACAGAGAGAGAGAGAGAGAGAGAGAGAGAGAGAGAGAGAGAGAGAGAGAGAGAGAGAGAGAGAGAGAGAGATAGCGAGGTTAGGAGCGAGGAGAGGAGCCCTAAAAACGACACAACAGAACACGGATGGGGATTGACTGATGTCATCGACCGTTCTTAAGGCGACGCCGCGCTCGAAATTTCAGCGTGACTGGCGATTATCGATTCCGTTTCAAGCTCGCTCGCTGCGAAGCAGGTCTCGCTGAAGAGTCACGGCGCGCATCACGCGCGCCGTATCATCGCGACAAGGACAAAAACAGGCGTCTAACGCACGCGATTCTCATAATCATGGAGACGATTTTCTGGACCCGAACCGTCGTGTCCCAGTCACTTTTTTTTATCGTCGCTTATCGTTTTTTATTTCCTCGTGACGAGTTCCTCTGAAAATAACATCATGACAAAAACAATACTTTCGCCTTGCCTTCGTAAAATCTCGTGCGTCAGCGGGCGATCCTAAACGAGAGAGGAAGAACGGAACGCGATATCATTCGCCATTTTCGTCATGCGATCGTCATGAACATTCTCTCTCTCTCTCTCTCTCTCTCTCTCTCTCTCTCTCTGCGTCTCCCACGTGCGGCTCAAGAGACAATAAAAGCGGCGAAGTACGCGGCATGACGGTGTCGATCGGAAATCGATCGTGACCGCACGCGACGTGCTCTTTCTTCTCGCGGCGAGGTATTTTTTGAATCGCGGCGCGCGCACACACGGCGGCGACGGCCGCGACTACGACGGCCGATGACGTCATCGCCGCACGCGGTACGACGGCGACGGCGGCTGGCTAGGTGCGCGGTACGAGCGTCGCGCTCGAGCCAACCACAAAATTCAAGGTCCTTGGAGGAGCGCGCGAGCGTACGGCGCGGCGCGGCGAGGCCCGTGCGAACTTCACCGTGTGACATCACGCTTCATTGTTGGAGGTTTACGTCATTCCCCGAGTCCGCCTTGGAGTCGTTGCGCGGAGACGGCAGACGGGTACTCGCACGCTCGCTCGTACGCACGCACGCAGCAACCTCTTCCTCCTCCTCTTCGTCGTCCACCTCCACCTCCACTTCTTTCTCTTCCTCCTTCTCCTCCTCCTCCTCCTCCTCCTCCTCCTCCTTCTCCTTCTCCTCCTCCTCCTCCCCGTTGTCGTCGCGGAAAAGACAACAAGCGATAAAATGTCGCCCACCCCGTCGTCGTCGGCTTGAACGGAGTGAGAGTCAATCGTTCGCTCGCTCGCTCGCTCGCTCGCTCGCACGCTTCAGTGTCCGTCGCGCGTAAATCGTGGAGGCGTCGATCGCGGAGGTGCGCGTTAGACGTCAGCGTCTCTATCGGGAACACGCGCTGAGGGCCGCCGACGGCTACGACACCGCGATTACCTGAGAGTAACAATAACAAGCCTAGGTACCTCTGCGGTCTTCGCGGCAACGCGGATGCGTCCGTCGCGAGAGCATGTGAAGCCGCGACGCGGCGCGTCCGGATCGTCCTGTTGAACTCGTGCTCGATTGTCGAGAATTCTCTCTTGTTTTCGCTCGCTCGCTCGCTCGCTCGCGTTCTCCTCGACGTCTCGCAGCTTTGCGGCTTTGCGCGCACTTCGCGTTGTGCCGTGCGCCGCGCGTTGCGACGTCGCTCGGGCCACGCGGACGACGGCGACGAGGCACGGCGAGAGCGCGCGCGCTCGTCCAGTGAGAAAATGTGATTGATCGCCGTCGTTTGTACGCGCGATCCTCACCTCCTCCGAGCGAGCGAGCGAGCGAGCGCGCGCGCGCGCGCGCGCGTTCGCCAGTCAGTCGGTGCGCGCTCGACGACGACACGGCTGCCGGCGCGCCTCTCTTTCATTTTAAATATAACGGTGTATAAATAAGTATGAGCAATAGCGGGAGTGCGCGGCGAGGCTTCTCGCGCCACCATCGCCGTTGATTTTTCTCTCGTCGTCCGCGCGCGCGGATACGCGTTGTTTATCCACGCGTTCTCGCGTATCGGAGAAAGAGAAAGAGAGCGAGTGAGAGAGAGAGAGAGAGAGAGAGAGAGAGAGAGAGAGAGAGAGAGAGAGGGAGAAAGACAGAGCAGCAGGCGCGAGTGAGAGAGAGAGCGAGCGAGTGCGTGCGTGCGTGCGTGCGTGCGTGCGTGCGTGCGTGCGTGAGCGAAGGGTGCGAATCGCCCTGTTGTCGTCGGATGCACTCTCGAGGACAACCGTGTGACTTTTTCCCCACTGACGTGACGCGCGTCGCCGTCGTGACTACTGCTGCTGCTGTGTTGTTCCTCCCGCTACGTCTTGGTCTTCTTTGTGCCGCGCGGCTATGCGGTTCCGGCATCGGCGGTAACGTACCATCAAGGTTAGTGCGCCAGCGCACCTTCGCGGCCGGAGCGTTCGTCGCCGACGAAGGATGCGGCCGATAGGCGAAATGTATAAACGGCCGAATGATAAGAGCGAGAGAGAGAGAGAGAGTGCGGCAGCGACCCGTGGGGGGATGGCTAACGAAACGCGCGCTAGTTAACTAGCTAACTCGGAGGTAGTCGTCGCGAAGCGAGAGCTGCCTCCGAGACGGTGAGAGAATCTCATCGTCGCGTCGACGAGCGGTCGTTATTTCGCGGCTGCGCGCGCGAGAGAGAGAGAGAGAGAGAGAGAAAGAAAGATTGTTGTTCCCCGTTCCTGCGTCGCGGAGCACCTGAAGGTTTGTGGTCTTTTAGATTTGAGAGGAAGACCGCGAGTACGATCGACGGTGACGACGACGACGTCGTGCGTGTGTGCGTCGTGTGAGCGAGTGTGAATGCGAGTGACGATCGCTCTGCGCTACATCGCGCGCGCACCGATGACAAATGATAACTGAAGTCCTCGATATTTTGGCGCGGCCGAGCCGTCGGTCGATCGTACCGCTCTCGTGAAAGAGCCGGTGAGCAGGAGCGAACGGTGCGCGATACAAGGTGGTTGTGTGTAAAGTGTGCCGTGCGTCATCACATGTACAGCGCAACGTGTGTGTGTGTGTGTGTGGGATCATTGTAGAAGCGGTAGAACGCGCTCGCGCGCTGTTACATGTTGTGCTCGTGAACGACGCGGCACGTTTGTTGACAGGGCAACTTAACGTTTGACGTTCCGCCTGTTCTCTCGGCTTCCTCGTCCGTCCAGATGCGGATCACGGCAGTTTACCTTTTTTTCTTGTAAAATTTTGCAAGCCGATCACGCGCCGCTTGCTCGCTCGAAATTACGTGGAAATATACGAGTGCATGACAGCGAACGCTTCTCGGGAATGTTAGTGACTAATAACGACGTTATAATGATTGGTGCGGGAACATCAATTTGATGATCGCAGTGTGCGATATCGCATCGAGAACGTCGGTACGGTAAATCAGCCTAATAAATCAGTGGGACGTGCTCAGTATCTCTTTCTATTCTGTTCAGGTTCAGGTTCAGGTAAGAGCTGGAAACCATCAGCCGGAAGACACAAGGGCAAATCCTTATTCTTGATGACAAGCATTTAGCACGCTGGCATGTCTGACGAAAGTGTCATCAAGGTTAGTACGATGACCATATTTATGGTCAGAGGAAATGAGTCTCTATTACTTCTCTATTACTGGAAACAGATAGGTACTTGAGCCTGCTGCAAAAAACTATTGTTTGAAAATCACACACTCGATAATACACACAATATGGATATATGATGGAGAAGATCAGAAGTGTTTTCCTTCTTTAGCTTTGACTGCTTTGTAAATTTAATCCCTGCTTATTTCTTCTTTTCAGCGGGACAACTTGCAAGTCCCAGTTGTGAGATACACAGGCATACTTGTGGAAGCAGGCATTTAGGTTGATCGTATAGTTTTATATAATGAGGATTTATTACCACCAGACATTGATCAAGCAGAAACTCGACAGTCAGCTGTATATCCTGTGTAAGCGAATTTGAATGATCTTCTCAATTCTTACTGATTCTCAGCGATATATTCTCAGGATAATATGTATCGTCTTGCTATTTCAGATACAAGAAATATACGTGATGCTGTTGTTTCCAAACTGCTTGCAGCTGTATGACAAGCTGCATGATGCTGAGGACTGTTCCAATCACCATTGTACCGATGCCTGTATAATGCTCGAGGAATTCTGTATATTTGCCACAGAATTGGCACGTCTGTGCGAGCGAGGGTAACATAAAAACTTTAGAGTATATTTGACAGGTTCGACTTTGCTAGGTACTTCTCAGCACTTGTAATGTTACCACCTTGTCACTTGTTATTCCTTTTATGCAATAGCGGCTTCCACTAAATTATCGTTTGCGCCAAGTTCCATTCAGTTTCTTCTTCTCTCGTACACCGGTACGCGCATCGACAATTGGATGAAAATCTGTATGTTGCAGGCGAAAATATTGATCGTTTGATTATGATCGCGGTGGGGGATATTTTAGCGCAACGATGAAACGCAATGCGATGGCCGTCGTTGCAAAGTTATTTGATATTTGGAAGTACGTGCAATTCCGCAATGCGTTTATTAACGATAACTTATATACCTGTTTACTATCTAGCATATCCTATTACCACACTCTGATGAAATCCCGTTTGCTAATTACGTAATTTACGTTTCTTTACCGCTATGCAGATGTGAGTCATATAACTTCACGATCCGAAATAACCATTGTCACTTTTACTATGTGTGAGAGAGAGAAAGAGAGAGAGAGAGAGAGAGAGAGAGAGAAAGAGAGAGAGAGATAATTATCAACTGTTCATTGCATAGCGTCGATTGTATGACGTGATCGTCAGTGATACATCCCTTCGGCGGTTCGTGTGCGTAATAAAAGTTTCAAAATCAATTCTATATCGCATAGGTAGTTTGGTGACTCACTCTGTGATACATAGAAACCGATTAGGAGAGGACAATGAGAAGCGCTCTTAAATACATGAAATCTCACTGCAGATACAATTAGTTCATTAATATATAGTCGGCTCGAGTGTGATAATATCGGATTAGATGTAGGGATCTCAGAAAACTGTCGTACTACACGTGTGTGTTCTTGTTTACTTCCAGAACAGCTGTTCCTATGAACGCCTCTCGCTCATTACACGGTGATGGAAAGGATACTAATCACAAAAGTGGCTCAAGTAAGTCAGCATGACTCGTACATTCTACGGTCGACGTGCCTCGCTCTGCTGCACGTCGATCGATCGTTCCCGGCCGATTCCTCATCAATTGATTCTCATTGATTCTTTAGAGAGGATGGCATATGAGGTATTTTTGGGCGGGTCTTGCAATCCAACCACCTGGAGGTCAGATATAGCGATACCGACTCTTCAGAACCTCGGAATTACTTATTACAATCCTGTACGTTGTTACATATCTCTTCGCTCACTTATCTTCTTCTCACACTTACCCGCGCGCTCGCCTGCGCGTGCCAGAGATGATAATTGAATTGTCGTATCATAGCAAGTGTCGCAATGGGGCCCGGAACTGATAGCTCAGGAGTACGAGGCGAAGCAAACAGCGCGAGTCTTGCTGTTCGTGATCGACAATCAGACGCGCAATAGCGCTGGCATCATCGAAGCGGCTCAACTGGCAGCTACGCGCAGCGAGTCCCTGGTCCTCGTCATTTATCCGTATCGCCAGGGACAAACTATACTTGGAGAGACTGTTTCTACGCAGTACGTTGTTCCAGCGTTAATCGACCTCTGTCTCGACTCACTGCATGCGCGCCTGACCGAGCAGTGTTTTCTGTCGTTGACACGCGCTTCACTCATCTATTTGTCTATTTCAGAGAATATTACGATTTGATGAACGGGTTGTTAGTACTTCAGTACCTAATGGAGAGGCAGAGGATACCGATATTCGAGAGTGTGTCGGTTGCTCTTCACTGCACGTCCAAGGTAATAGATCTCATTCTCTGCACTGTTGAGGCAAAGAGCCGACGTCCATTTCTATAGTTTAGTTTACAGCGAAATGCTTGCAAACCTCGAGAATTATGTGACTGAACACTGAAAAAAATGGACAACGGCCTGATGTAAAATTGACCTCCCCGGCAAACGCTTCAAAAGTTTAATGACCGATATACGTATGCTCCGTACAGATGCTACGCGAAGAGATCAATGTACAGGATTGCACAGACTTGCATACCGAGGATGGCATCAAACCCATAAGAATCTCGCTCACTCAAAATGGAACGGACGCGGTGTAAGTTTTGCTAAGCGTAATCGATTAATATATATCGTCTGTGGGAGGAAGAGAACGTAGAAGAGTCAAGTAGTTTACAATGATGTGTGAACACCAATCTTAATTCTTTGCAGAACGTTGCGTGAGATCTTCAAGTCCATGGACGTTAATGATAGCGGTACGGTAAAGCTCCGGGAAGTACGTACGCATGCTCTGTCGCACGAAGAATTCTCTTTAAAAACACATATCCGCGCCTGATTCTCAGTGTGTACGTTCTCTTTGTCTTATTTGCAGGCTTGGGTGATGTTGCAGTCGAATGCAATGTGCAATGTGTCTCTCTCGGATCTGCTCAACACGGTGAATAAATCCGGTAACGTTCGCGTGTCATATTTACGTTACACTTAGCGCACTCGTCTTGGCTCGGGAGAAAAAAAATATAGTAATCAGCACGATAACTAACTGTCACGCAGAAGCATGCAGGAGCTTGATAGACGGATTTCCGGCGAAAGGGGACCCGACGGAACTGCGAATCAATTTCGAGCAGTTTTGCGCCCTGGCCAGCGAGTCGTCGTGGACGCGGACGAAGAGTAACGGCGTCACTTGCGAAAGTGAGATACCTTCAGTATGGAATATATTATATAGGAAGGCCTCAAATTTTCTACGCCGAGCTATTGTACATCCTTTTAATCGTTTCCTAGGTATTTCTGATTTTCAACAATCTCCCATGATCTGCGGCACTCACTGGCTGTCTATTTCTCTATTTCTTTTTCTTTCTCCATTCTCTCTCCATTCTCCATTTCTCTCCTCTATCTGCCTCCTCGAGAAGAAACAAAATCTTATACCTCTTTCCCAGACTGTTCGCTTCCCTTGTCACTAGACTAGAAGAGTTCACACACGGAGTCGGAAGTAAAAGAGCTCACAAGGAATTGCGATTGACCGGCTTAAAATTCCATCTTTTCCAGATTGGACCAATTCCTTCGTACAGCAGGAGTCCGAGAAGAGGGATATTTATATCGGTGTCGTCAGTAGAGATCTGTTTTGGTTGGAATCTTCCGCTGTGCCGTTGCTAGAGTGAGTGTTTGTTGTTCGACGACAAATTTGGAGGGCTTGGATTGAATTATTCTCCTCTACCGTCTACCTGCAAAACGATCTTTTTCAGATCAATGAGATTGTCTCTCTATCGACCAAGCCTGGACGAGTACAACGTAAGGTTATTGCCGCATGAACTGCAAAAGATGAAGAATTCGCGGCTGATCCTGTTAATAGTGCCGCAGCATTCGCGCGGTATCGCCATTATGGCGTTGGCAGCTCACTTGATTGGACTGCGCGCTAAGCTCGTCCTCTGTGTTCAAACTCTTCCCGAGGGTACCGTCGTGTCTGGCGAACAGGTATGACTGATGATATGCAAATTATATCTGCTACGAGGATATTATAATAGGATCTACCTAGGATTGATACGAGATGCTTATTTTTCTTCTCATGAATCTACTAGTTCTCACAGCACTTTGCATACCAGCGAGCGAGATTCATTTGAATACTTGCCTCAGATTTATCGTTGCATTTATATGCAACTTTCTTGCTTAGATATTTTTTCTCGCGAATGCGATGGCAGATGTAATCTCGTTTTGTCTTATTTTTGACTGACTGTTTAGCTGACTGAACAAGCCAGAAAAGACTACAACCGGGGGAGGATGTACTTGTCGGACTATGCGACGCGCGAAGGTGTACCTGTTTTTCAGAATATCGCTGATGCTCTGCAACACGCGATACAATTAGTTCAAAGTCCCTGTTGACTTAATATTGCTTTTTCTGTTTTATTTTTTTTTCTATTTTTTTTTCGTACACGAGTAAGCTCCTCGGTTCGAATGACTAATTTATTTTTACCCTTAACTCATGTCCAACTACCATTTGAGATTCACGCGAACGTAATAGGTGTGATGATGGCGATGACGATGACGATGTTACACTATCATTGTTATCACTGTAGAATCACCGCTATTGATTGAGATCACAATTCATGTCGTCGCTAACACACACGACGTAGAGACTTCCTCACCGAATGTATCTTATCGTTATCATCTCATCGATAGCCCTCACGCTACTTGAGCACTTTACGTCGTTAACGATACCACTTGTTTACATATTACTATTATTATTATTACTACTATTATTATTATTATCGTCATCATTATTAGCGCTATTATTATAATTATTTTAAACTCTTGACAAAGTTGAAAGCACGAGCATAACACAGGCAAGTCAAGGATATTTTACTTCCACCGAGGTATTACTATTTATTACAAGTACACGCGGCATTTTTCGAGAGCAATTATTTTTACTTTGTCCAAACGCGCAATTTATATATATATATATATATATATATATATATATACACATGTGTAAAGAAAAGAAAAAAAAAGTATACGTTATTTTATACTGGCCAATGCATATCGAGCAGCTAACTGTTTTATTATTATATAGTTATTTTTATCGTCACATTCTTCTTCTCTTATCGAATGACGTATCCTTTATTTAATCGTCATAGAAAAGAAAACAAATGAAGGAGGAAGGCGAAGAGCGGTCTCTTACGGTAGATGGACATATATTATTTTTTCTTTTTCTTTTTTTTTTTTTTTTATAGTAACTTAACGTTCGCAATTTTTTTGTAACCTTTTGGTAACTTGGTTGAGGATTGATTTGATATACGTGTACATAGACTGTAGTTGTCTCTAACGATCTAATCGATTATTAACTCTTGGAATTCGATCGAAGAGGTATGCGAGAGAATTTTGGATGCATGGTGATAGTGATGTTAATTACGATACGCGTGTATGCGTGTGCGTGTGTGTTTGTATGTTTGTGCGCGCTTCCGCGTGATTCACAATAACGTGCGTGCTCGGAATTGGCAGTAAAGTTGCATTTCCGTGCACCGCGGCGAACGCAAAATTCCAGCGACCGTCGATGTAGAGCAACGAGAATTATAGGAAGAACCGCGTGTCTTCCCCCGATTCGGAGTGTACGATGTATGCATGCGTATGAATGTGTGTAAGGGTGTGTACTGAAAACGAGAGAGAGGGCGAAATGTGTAAGCTATTTAATAGCCCGCGGGTTGCTTGACGTTCGGAGACCTCGGATCGCTCGGACGAACGATATAAAGAAAAAAGTGGCTCAATAGAGAAAGGAAGAGAGGGGGATAGAGAGAGAGAGGGGGGGGAGAGAGAGAGAGAGAGAGAGAGAGAGAGAGAGAGAGAGAGAGAGAGAGAGAGAGAGAGAGAGAGAGAGAGAGAGAGAGAGAGAGAATGAGAAATCGTTTACTGTATTTCCTTCTTCGCGAAAATGTCTTCATATACACACGCAACACATACACAATACACACACATATACATACATACACGTAACTTGCACACATTCGTATGTTTCTCGTCGAAAATTCTTTCCTTTTCGTAATAAAACAGCTAAAATGACTGTTACCTCCACGCGTTTTCTTTCGACGTCTTCTCTGCGCGCAGCGGTGAGTAAAAATCTACCTTAGAACTATTCTCGTACTTAATGAGTCGTTAAGATCGCACGATTCTGACTAACCGTGTCAGCGTTAAATAAATGCGTATTATGTCCGGTCATGTGAGGAAGGATATATCCCAAGTACCGTAGTCACGTCTTAGCGTTTTACGCGCGTGAGTAAAGAGCTTAAATGAGATGAGATGCTTCTTGCGATAAGACGACCGATGTGCATCGCTACGTGCAATACGTACGACATAGATGATTTATTCATAGCGCACGAAGCTTCTCGTTTATAAACAGTATAGAACGTTGTACGAAAATTACACGTCTATTATTGCTATACATTACCTTTGGTCGAAAACTTTGATCTCCAACGCAGCCACGATCGCACGATTGTATACACGTAATCATGTTATCAGTCAGAAAAATGTCTCTCATTATTCGGCCTTCACATTTAACTCACCCCCACTATTTTTTTTGTTTTTCTGTTTCTCTGCGGTCCTCTAATCTTTCTTTTCTTGTTCTTCTAACCTTTTATTTCTTCCTACGTACTGCCTATTTCTCCGGAAAGTAATATCTCCGTATATTCTTGAGCGATAATAACACCGGTATCATTGCCGGCAGGAACAGAGGAATGTACACAGCGTACCTGTATAATCGTAAAATTATTATACTCGCGATGTAATTGTGAGAGAGAGAGAGAGAGAGAGAGAGAGAGAAAGAGAGAAAGGAAAAGAAAATAATACATATTCATCAAAACCGTGAATCAAACCGAGAATCGTCCTTAAAGCTTCTTACTCACTTCTGATCTTCCGGGAAGTAAAGGAGCGCCAATAGTGTCGGATCGGAGAAGGCCGCTTCGGCAGTAACGAAGGCCTCCTTGCTCAGAAAAAAGCTACGCTCGAGGTCGCCGCGCTCCAGGCACATGGCGGAGCTGTACACCAACTCGAGCGCGGTCTTGATCCTGTTCCCAACCACATCGGTGATGACGATGTTGCTGATCTCCTTAAGGAGTTGCGCCAACGATTGCAGGGTCAATTTCGCCGAGGTCAATTGCTCGACGGTGCGAAATCTTAATAGAGAATCGATCTCCCAATCGCGCGATTTCAATCCCACCAATGGCACCGCCGTCACCCCGCTGATGGGCTTCTGCGATCATTGACATGTCATGCGTGTATTAGTCCTTATCGATGAAAGAATCGGCATTATCCTTGCATAGCGTAAAACCAAGCTATTCTCTCTCACGATTAAGATAAATGAAGAAAATTGCAAGCCGCTCGTTGTGAAGTCACGTGATTAAGTTTGTGACTTTGCGCGCAAAGAGGTCATTACCGTTTCTGGAATGCCCAACAATAGTCTGAGCTGCGCCAAGAACGTGCCTATCACTGCGGTTTCCTCGGGGACGACGGTAACGACTTCGTCTTCTCGCGCATTTTCGCAAGCTTCCGACGGTGGATTGATCAAGACCACGCCACCCCATCTGTAAAAGACAATAATATTTCGCTAAAAAAAAAAAAAGAAAAAAAAGAAAAAACACGAATCTTTAAAGAGACTGACAAGAAACTGACTCGTGTTCAGCTCGAACTAACAGATACTAGTTGCGACTCGCGTATAATTCGTCCACTTGCGCAAACAATCGCGCGCATTTAAGTTAAATTCATATCCAAGATGAAAGTTAACGGGACATAGAGAGTAACAACCTTGGAGACAGAAAGGCCTCTATGTTGCTTTCCGCCCGCGACCTGTGGCCGCTGCGAGTGTAGATGTGCAGGGGTGCGCTGTCGCACGGCACCGTGTAGACGACGAAGCTTATGCAAGGATGGAGGCTAACCTGCGATGCTAAAATTCAGTCAGGCAGGAAATGACGCTTGGTAATTTTTAATGCGCGTTGGCGCCGCGAGCGTTGTACCTAATTTTTTCTCCAACGGCGTCACGAGCTGCGGCAGAACGCTTTCGCGCAGGGCAAAGTGCCGGCGACTCGGACTGCTGTCGGGCACTCGTTTAGGATTCACATCTAACGGCAGCAGGTACAGCCACTGCGACTTCACCGAGAAGTTACTCACGATGGACATCTCGTCCAGAAACGGTCGTATGTACTCTGAGACAACAAATTCATATCTCAGGTTTGTTTATATTGTGCCTTTTTTTATTGACAATTAGGCACAAATGTACCTTCGGCTACCATCTTGAGGTCCCAAACGACCTTCAGCTTTTCAGGATCAGGATTCACCAGGGTGATCAGGATGTCGTACGCTGGACTGGCCGGGAATCGTCTCCTGTTCTCCTCGTCTAAACTGTACACGGTGGGCTCGGCGAGCGCGTTCCTCGTCAGCGCCAATGACTTGTCGTGTAGAATCCATTCCGATAACACCTGCACCAATTTGGCAGCACCTGGAGACGTTACGGTACTTGATCTATACATTGCTGCAGTATAAATCGCGAGAGAAATTGAATCAGCTTCTCGCTTTATGAGTCATTAAGTTTCACGCGAATTGCATGTAGTAATTTTTAAATCGCTCTAATGAACGCATTAGTTGTGACATCTTAATAAGTCAGGATTGTCAGTGGTGACGCAGCGAATTAACTGGAACAAACCGGCATAGACAGACTCGAGTGCGTCTGAATTAGTTTCTCTCTCTCTCTCTCTCTGTTTCTGTCTCTCTCTCTCTCTCTCTCTCTGTCTCTGTCTCTCTGTCTCTCTGTCTCCTCTCTTCAAACTCCTCAAGCGACTCGATCATGACGATTCGAGTCGTCTCGATATAATTCAAAGTCAAAGCGAATTCCAGCGAGTCTTGAGGAATTTTCAAGGTCTCGTACCGCTGGGAATCTTGAAATAAACTCGAAAAAATTCAAGAGATTCTAGTTTCGTATAATATTTGCAATTCCTCAAGGCTCCCTTCACATATTTCAAGCGACTTGATGCGTCTCTAATGTATCGTTAGAACAGAACCGATGGTAAATTGCCCTGGCAATTGACTCACTGGTTTCAGTAGAGAAGTATAGCGTTCTCTTGGAACCGACCAGGACAGCGTCGTTCAGATTTGTCGCCTCCAGTAGCAGTAGTCCGCCGACGTCCAAGTCAAAGGTCGAGGCTACCTTCTCGAGTTCGTGATACGTGAAAGCAGACGCCAACAGGTTACTGGAGATTACCTGATACTCCACGTCCAATCGGTATATCTCTGAAAACGCAAATTGAGATCATGTGCAGTGTTGCACATCCGCAAAACCGTGTTCGATTGTGCCAAAAAGTGTGCCACATTAGTGCGTTTTGTGCCATTCGAGCTGAATTAATATATTTTGAAGATTTTATAAAAACTGAGGAATCTATTAGGTGTACAAATTAGTTCGGTCCGTTTTCAAAACATGGTTCCGGCTGTTATGAATGGTTCATAGTGACTGCCGATTTTGGCGGTTTCAAAGAGATTAGACATCTGCCAATAATATTCAGTTTATATCGCTTTGAGTTTCATACAAAAACCTTGCTTTTTACAGTGTTGAAAATGTCGAATTTTGTGTTAACCAAGCAGCATTTGCGGGAGGTTTTAATTTTCTGCTTTAATTGGAAGAAAAGTGCAGCTGAAGTCCATCAAATGCTTGTTGACGTTTATGGTGACGCTGCTCCAACTGATAAATCATATAGGGAATGGTTTCGACGTTTCAAGGATGGAGATTTCAGCGTCGAAGACAAGCCTCGCTCTGGACAGCCAAAAAAATTCGAGGACAAAGAATTAGAGGCATTACTCGAAGAAGATCAGAGTCAAACGCAAGAGGAGCTTGCAGAATCATTGGGAGTGACTCAACAAGCCGTTTCCGTACGATTGAGAGACATGGGAATTATTCAAAAACAAGGAAATTGGGTGCCTTATGAACTGAAAGCGAGAGACGTTGAAAGGCGTTCTTCATGACAACGCTCGGCCTCATGTCACAAAAGTCGTAAAAAAATATTTGGAAACGCTCAAATGGGATGTTTTACCACACCCGCCGTATTCTCCGGACATTGCTCTTTCTGATTACTGGTTATTCCGAAGGATGCAGCACGATTTGGCAGGTCACCGGTTCACTTCTTTCGCAGATATCGAAAATTGGCTCCAAACTTGGATCGCCTCAAAAGACGAGTCATTTTTTCGAGATGGAATTCGAAAATTGCCTGAGAAATGGGAGAAAGTAGTAGCCAGCGATGGAAAATACTTTAATTGATCTGTTCATTCATTTTGTTTTGAAATAAATACATCTTTTAACACGGAAAAAAACGGACCGAACTAATTTGTACTCCCAATATAAGTAGTTTTTACTGTCTAATCTTATATTTGTATCTTAAATTTGCATCTTAAAAACTAACACTTCTTGTGTATCGTTAGAGGTTCGGAAGGAGTAATTGAATTAACCAATCATGATAAAAAGATATTTGCTCTTTTTATTCTTATTGGTTAATCCGATGTTAGTTATTTTTGGTCTGTTCTTTGTAGCTGTACTGCTAAACTGGTGCAATAAGCTAGAGTGGAAAAACCTATATTTGTCTCACTTTTTGCTTATTGCACCAGTTCAACAGTGCAGCTACAAAGAACAGACCATTTATCTGTAATATGTAAGTTCCGAACACTCCAGATAACATAAGTGCCACTTTATTGGTTATACTAAATCTACATACTCTTGCTCGTAGAATGCGATACGTTTACGTCATAGAAGCCAAAGATTTAAAACTTTCACTTAAAAATGGAATTGTTTTACTTTCCTTCTTTTGTGCCACAAAAATGCATAATGTACTACCAAATCACTAAATTGTGCCTGTGTGCCACTAACCTTTAATTGTGCCACGTATGGTACGAATGTGCCATGACTGGCAACGCTGATCATGTAGCTTTCTTTTCTCTTTCTCTCTCTCTCTCTCTCTCTCTCTCTCTCTCTCTCTTTCTCTCTCTCTCTCTCTCTCTCTCTCTCTCTCTCCTTCTCCTCCTTCCCGCTTTTAAATTTTATTCTACTCTCTCTATTCTATTCTCTTCCTTCATTCTATCCCCGCTAATCTAACGATACCATCGATTGACGTTGTTTGACGTCACAATTCGGGATCGCGTTGCCGTGACTGTACCAATTTTTCAGCAATTTTTAATTCACCAACCTGAAACGAGGGTCGGAGGTCCTTCTCTCTCACTTCATTACTCCCGATAGCCACGATACATTCGGGTCAATGTCAACTATGCTCGATGTCTCTCATACGTAAACATACGAATTTCCTTACGTCAAAAGAGAGACGCGCGAGATCGCGCATAACAATACGACGTTGCGAATACGCGAACGACGTCTCAAGGCTCTCCGTAAACAATTGACGTCGCGCAACACCATATCTTCGCATCTCGCGCATCAACAACTGGCGGGCAATACCGCGACCTTATCGCGATGCTTACCGGCGTTCGCGAAGGTTCGCCTGATCTCGCGCGCGAGCAGCTCGGCGCGGTCGCGCGAGAGCGCGGCGACGATGATCTTCGTGGTGATCTTGATGTCCAGCTGCGACAGCTCGTCGATCCTGGCGTAGGGAAGCGCGACGCGCGGCACCGCCGTGGTGTGCCACCAAAGGGGCAGGCCGACTCCCAGCAGCAGCACGGCGAACGACACGCTCGCGTAAACTCGATATTTCTCTGCAACGAAAAATGCAACAGCTGTATCATCGACTTATTGTTATACCGAGCGCGTCGGTACGAGCAGATATCTTTCTTTCATCGACGGAGAACACTTCCCGGAGAAAGGACCGCTATGGCGGTCTAAATTTAAGACTTTCCTGCCACTGCCAAAGATTCTCGCCAATTCCCATCACGTTGTTCAAACGGCCGCGGCGGCGCACAGTGGGGCCAGATGACATTCTTTGATTGAAAATTCTCTAGAGACCTGAACTTCCAACCGATCATCGACACCAATGGATGAGGTTGATCCTGAATAAATTCCGAGGAGATCTGTCTTGCCAAAATTTAGAAAAGAATTTTTTTCTCGAATTACTAGCCCCAAAAGAGGAAAAATTATCACTAAACGCGAGAAACTTGTGAAATATACTCATTATTCGACACTTATTTCGATCTAATAGCGTATTCGGCGGATTGAAACTATGAAAACCAATCAACAGACACCTTGAGATTTATCGATCTTGAACCAGAAACCCATTAATCCAAAACTCATATGCCCAAGATACAAAAACATCAAATATAGACCCGTTAAGCACAAAACCGAGGGATTTTAATCGTTAATTCTTTCTTAATGTGGGCTGAAATGATGAGCTTTGAAATTCGGAGTTTTCTACAAGGTGATTATAAATTCTGGGGTCTCGCATTTAGTATCCATAGGCTCAAACCCAAGACACTGTACTTTATACTTTTAAGACAAACCCTAAAAACCCATGAACCCGGAACCGATAATGTTTTCAAAATTTCGGCTAGACAGATCTCTTTGGAATTTATTCAGGATCAACCTCATCCATTGGTGTCGATGATCGGTTGGAAATTCAGGTCTCTAGAGAATTTTCAACCAAAAAATGTCATCTGGCCCCACTGTGCAGCGGCGACGGCGGCGGCCTTTCTTCATGTACTCGTAACCTTGGGATTAAAATTGAACCGGGTCCAATTTGGTCGTTCGTATTCCACCGCGGACATGACGAAACAACGTCAGTTCAATGTTAATCGCGACCGTGCGACATTGTGGCTACGATTTGCATCCAGATAATTTCACGAGCTGCATCGACGCGAGTCGCCGCCGATTTCCATGGGCCAGTGAATTTCTTCACGCGGAGCAACGTCGAGGTGCGAAGGCACGTGTTGAATCTCCGCGCGCGCGCGCGAGGAGGCGGCGTAACAATGCCGACGATGCCGACGACGATAGGGAATTATATAACAATTATTATGTGCGCTAAATAAGAATAATGCGCGTGATAAACACGGTTTTCCCGGCGGGCTGGAAAGGCCCGAAGACGAACCTTATACTCGAAGACAACTACGCGGAGAAGTGACGAGAGACGGTGGCCGCTGCGAGAGAAACAAAGGTTCGCGTAAATCTGACCTGCAAATATCGTTAGCCGGGCGAAATCTGGGACCGAAGGGAACCGATCTCTATCGCTAATTGTCAACTGCATCAGCTGCTAGGATTTCCTCCGTTAGGATTTTCATCCCGATCGGCGCGGCGGCTATCCGAGACGGTAGGAATCGGCAGAGACGAAGACGTTGAGCGCGTTATTGATCGATGACTGTGGCTGTGTGTGTCAGCGGAAAACAGATGATTGATCATGCCGCGCGACACCGATGACGCGCGCCATGTGCGAACTATTAAATCAAAAACCAACAGATCCCGTCGCATGGCCGTCTCTCCATCGCGCTGGCGAGCCTACTCATCGTTATGCATCGGCGAGATCGTAAGTACAGTTGCAGATTATGATAAGCGAGCGAGAGCGAGAGGGGGAGAGGGAGGGTGAGTCTTGTTTATCTGTCACTCGGCGGATCATCGATCATAAGCGCAGAACGATGAGACACTGTCCGGCCGTCGATCGCGCGAGCTAAACGAAAGCGAATCAAGTACATTGATAGAAAAGTATAGTTGTACTAACTACAATCTCACTATATTTTATAGTTCATTTTGCCGTCAACTATATTTTTATAGTTCACGGAACCTGCAAAATATAGTAGAATAAACACAAATATATAGTCAATGATTGTCTTAAATAATTGTTTAGTTACTTTTACATTTTACACATATATGGTAATTTCTCATTCACAAATATAGCGAGATTTAATATTCATATAGTTACATCTGTCATCATTTAGCAAATATTCTGGTAATATTGACTATATAAAAGAGTTACTTTACCTACCATTTTATGGATTTGCATCCATACAATAATCTTAGTTTAACTTACTATAATTCTTAGTAAAAATATTATATGGTTGGTTATACTATGTCTGTATCGTAATTATTACCGATATTATGGTAATACTTACTGTAAATATGATATTTCGGATATAATTTCGGACTATAATTTAGTTACTATATTAGTAATTACAGTTCCAAATATCATATACTTTTCTCTCGCTATGCTCTTTGAATTCCAAGTTTCTTGTAGCGCGTGCGTGAGAAACTTGAAACTAAAAGAGCATCACCCAAAAACAAAGTATTCTATTTGTAAAGTGATTTTTCCTCATAGTCTCGTATTCTAAGCGGAACCTCTTACAGGAAGAGGATTCTTCTTTCGATAGAGCGATTAAAGTGAACCATTCATCTTTAAAATTTATTAGATATTATTCTAACTGTTTTCCTCTTATTTCAAGAGGACTTCCTCTTATATCAATTAATATTCCTCTTATATGGAGAGGAATATGTTGATTTGAACATCCGTTCATTTTGTTCAGTCATGCTCTACCTCCATGAGTACCACATGAACGAGAAAACAACCATACGCTCATACGTCAGAATATTTGGAACGCTTTTTGAAAAAGGTACGTGTGTGTTGCTGTAACATATAAGATAATTTACCCATATTTGGTCAAATCAAGTTTATAATCTATTGCAAGAAATTGAATATAATATATTCTTTCTTTTAACTGTATTTCATACAAAAAAGAAACTAAAAAAAAGATTAAAATAAAAAAGATAAACAAAGATTAAAGAAAGATTACAAAAAGACTAAATAATCCGTGTATAAGAGGAAATTTATATTAAAATCAATCAGATTTGCATTATATATATAATGCACTGAGAGAAAATATATATGATATTTGGAACTATAATGATATAGTAACTAAATTATAGTTCGAAATATCATATTTATAGTAAGTATTACTATAATATCAGTAATAATTACGATATAGACATAGTATAACCAATCATATAATATTTTTACTAAGAATTATATTAAGTTAAATTAAAATTATTGTATTTGTATGGATACAAATATAAAATGGTAGATAAAGACACTCTTTTATATAGTCAATATTACCAGAATATTTGCTAAATAATGACAGATGTAACTATATGAATATGAAATCTCACTATATTTGTGAATGAGAAATTACCATATATGTGTAAAATGTAAAAGTAACAAAACAATTATTTGAGACAATCATTGACTATATATTTGTGTTTATTCTACTATATTTTGCAGGTTCCACGAACTATAATAATATGGTTGACACCAAAATGAATTATAAAATATAGTGAGATTATAGTTAATTCAACTATATTTTTCTATCAGTGCATATAATTCCTCTAACTTTAAAAATAATGCGCTTATATAATATTTTTCTCTTAATTTTAGAGGGCTTTTCTTGCGAGGCCATGTATAAGAGTAAAATCCTCTAAAATTTAGATGATTCCGCTTGTTCTGAAATTATTTTTTCTTTTGGGTGATGTTTAATGTTCGCTCGCGCGTCCACGGCAAGATCTGCGGGGTCGGAGCGAGAACGTGGCATCTCGGTCGCGCCGATCGTGCGTCTTCTCTCATCGCACGCATCGTCTCTCCCGGAGATGCGTGCGTACGCGCGTAATTGCCGTTTGCGAAAGTCACGTCGCAGCGAACGCGCGCGGGTCAAACGGACTGACACGACGAGGGAGAACGCAGCGTGTTCGGGCGAATTTAACAGATCAATTAGCGTTGTGCTCCGTTGTGCTGATTACGTAAAGCCGGGAAATGCGCGCCGCGAATATGCACGCTGTATGTAAAGTATGTGATGCCACCACCGTCGCCTTCTTCGTGAAAAACGCGCGCGTGTCATCATGATACACGCTCGTAACACGCGCGTTATGATCGCGGCGAAACGATCCTCTTATTATTATTTCCTCTTGTTATTTCGTACACGTCGATCCTCGTGACTCGTCGACGCGCAACACGGATTTTTGCATGCTTCCGGGCAAGGGGCAAGGGGGAGGGGGGGGAAGGAATTCTTCTTCACCGGAAGAATTTCAGTTGCTCCGCAGACTAATTACCGGTGTCTGTGTTAATTGCTCTGATTACACGCTTCCACCTGGTAATCACGGAAAGTTTACACCGACCGAATGTATAATGTTGCGCGTCGCGAAATAATCGCGAGGCTAATTGAAATGTTGTGCGTCGTGATTCTCCGGCGCGCAAGTGTGCAAATTACATAATTGCGAGGCGGGCTTTGAGATTTCGTCGAACCGATCGGGACTGCGATTGAAGTCAAGTTCGATCGAGGACGTAACTCGACGAGAAGGAGAGCGCGTCCTCTCCGCTCCGATTCGACCGGTGAGAGATTATCGACTTTCGTCCTCAGCCTTTTCCGCGATCACATTCGATTACGATAAGACAATTCCTCAATTTTCGGAGTCGCGGCGACCGTTTCTCAAGATCATCGTGGCGGCTACGGTGACTTATCGCGCACCATCGACGTTTAATTGCGCGCGCTTGGCACGCTGTCTTATTTAATAATCGCGAATATATATTTGGAATTTTAATGACGCAAGCGACAGAGTCGCGCGAGCGAAAAAATAAATAAAATATCGATAAAAGATCGAATTTAAAGCGACGAAGTACGCGGAAATGCGCGGACGTGCCTCCCTCCTCCGACTTCTCGTTTTTCTTCGTCGTGGTCCCTCGCCCGTTATTTTCTTTCCTCTTCGTTCGACCTGATGCGCCGATGGATTATACCAAGTCAAATTACGATGTAAATAAATACTATGGTGGTACCTGTGTGGTTCGGCTGTAGAAAATACGCACGCGTCGCTCGCAATATTTTTTTCTGCTACGGTCAGTCCGCGATGATTCTCGTCGTTGCGGACCTGCTTACGAGCCGCGTAATCACTCGAATTACTCGAAATGAGAGACAAATGCGGTGTACGATAACGGCCTTACAATTAGGATCTGACATTGCCTTATGCCCCGACGTTTACCTGAATTAGCGTTTATTTCGCGGTGATACGCAGCGTAGAGACCGCTGCGTTTGTTGATTTCCTTAAACGCGCGCGACTTGCCCTCGTAACGAGTCCATTACGTAACGATTAATTTAATGCATTAATGTGTAGCATTATTGCATCGACTTGATGGCAGACGAGCCATCGTTCTCTTTTTCTTTCGCTCCTTCAGGAGACTGCAAGGCACATAGAGCTGACGCAGCTCTGGTGTGTTTTGGAAAAGAGCGGGAAATTGCGGAAAAATTGCGTTCCTCGAACGATTCTCCTGGTTAAATTTCCCCGGCGTGAAACCTCTTCACGCCGCGTCTCAGATTACGCGATTATCGTCTGGTCGCAGTATCGTAGTGCAGTTTGTGATGCACACTGATAGAAAAATATAGTTGAATTAACTATAATCTCACTATATTTTATAGTTAATTTTGCCGTCAACCATATTTTTATAGTTCGTGGAACCTGCAAAATATAGTAGAATAAACACAAATATATAGTCAATGATTGTCTCAAATAATTGTTTTGTTATTTTTACATTTTACACATATATGGTAATTTCTCATTCACAAATATAGCGAGATTTCATATTCATATAGTTACATCTGTCATTATTTAGCAAATATTCTGGTAATATTGACTATATAAAAGAGTTACTTTACCTACCATTTTATATTTGTATTCATACGATAATCTTAGTTTAACTTACTCTAATTCTTAGTAAAAATATTACATGGTTGGTTATACTATGCCTATATCGTAATTATTATCGATATTATGGTGATATTTACTATAAATATGATATTTCGGACTATAATTTAGTTACTATATCGTTATAGTTCCAAATATCATATACTTTTCTCTTAGTGCAGAGATGCAAAATTGCCAAGAAAACACGTTGCGGCGAATTTAGAAGCGATATAGAACATCGTGGATAAATTAGCGTCCGACGATCGTGCCGACATCGGGGATTCGTCGTGGGCGATGAAAAAACGCGACATGCGTTACGACGAAACAATAGGAGTCAATTACGTTTGACCGTGAATAAAGTATGCGTTACGTCACGATAACCAAAATACGATTTCCAAAATTCATACGTACAAAGGACGATGACATATCCCGGATCCAATTCTGAGACTTGCAGGGAAATTAACTGCGTGGAAAAGAAAACGGGAAAAAAATGCAGGAAGAGGAAATTGATCGCTCCGCGCGATCGTTGAAGAAGCTCATCAATCTGCGAGAACGCACATGTAATAATATTAACAACAACACGTCGTCACGTGACGTGACGTCGCGACGAGGCTGCAGATCGAGCTTGTAAATAAATAAATTCGCTCCGCGCGAGAGCATCGCGAGAAATCGCATTCTTTCCTTCTGTCTTTCCCCCCTCCTCTCGCCCCGATTACATTTCCTGAAATATTTTCACAACGCGCGCGCGGGTCAGACGCGGTGTCATCGTGTCGTGTCGTGTTGTCGGCGTTATTATTGACGTTGGCAGAGACGATATTTCTGCGGAATATCATCGATACCCGCGATTTACATTCGCAATTGTGCGGTAAATATGTCGTCGTAAATTATGTCGCTCGCGCATACGCATACATTTACGTTGTCGGCGAGCCGCGCGATCCCGATAGCGCCGCTCTGCGATTTTCTTGCTAATTCGATCGACGTGTCGTTTTCACGGTACCGACGAAACCGGCATACGTACCGCGGCGAGTTTGCTTCGAACTTTCGTCCGAATTCTACCGAGCGCAAAACAACTTGCGACGACGCGAGTGGAATGAATAACGAAGGCGAGGAATAAAGAACATTTCCGGTGCGTCGTCGCGTTTCGATCGCGGACGATACATGCCGCGCCGCGCGCAATCGAAGTATCGAATAGAAACGACAAATACGCGTGACGATGACGATCGAAGTCAGCTATTTTTTCCACGTTCCTTCGTTCGATGAAATTTGCCAGGGTCGTGATTGGATCAATTGTCCGACCTCCTGGCTGCATGGGCGAGAAGAATCCCAGTTCGTGGGCAGTGAGTTTTCCTCATTGTCCATTTTCCTGTCGACGAACGCTCGAGAGAAATCCTGTCTCGAGTCGAGGAACGCCGGAGGAAACGATAAGAAATTTACACTGAAATGGTCCTTCGCAGGAGAGCGAATCCTTTGTGCGCGCACGGCTCGGTTCCTTCTTAGTAGCAGCGTATTCGTTATACCCCGGCACGAAGGAATGTAGATTTTCTTGTTGCCGTGTCTGCCGATGCTGCGGCATCGTTTCAGGCCTGTCTCAGACGCGTAATCTCTGAACGCAGCTCTCTCTCTCTCTCTCTCTCTCTCTCTCTCCCTCTCCCTCTCCCTCTCTCTCTCTCTCTCTCTCTCTCTCTCTCTCTCTCTCTCTCTCTCTCCCTCTCTCTCTCTCTCTCTCTCTCAAGCACAGTTTGTACATATGCGTATTGGCTGCACCGACTAATATGAGGGTATTAAACGATGAACCCTTCTCGTAACGGGACTCGACGGCCGTAGTCCTCTTGCCATCTCGTCTGGCTTGTACCCAGCTCGACAGGATTGTCAATTAAACGTTCCAGCCACACTGAGAGAAAAGTATATGATATTTGGAACTATAATGATATAGTAACTAAATTATAGTCCGAAATATCATATTTACAGTAAGTATTACTATAATATCGGTAATAATTACGATACAGACATAGAATAACCAACCATATATTTTTACTGAGAATTATAGTAAGTTAAACTAAGATTATCGTATGAATACAAATATAAAATGGTAGGTAAAGTAACTCTTTTATATAGTCAATATTACCAGAATATTTGCTAAATGATGACAGATGTAACTATATGAATATTAAATCTCACTACATTTGTGAATGAGAAATTAATATATGTGGTGAAAGTAACTAAACAATTATTTGAGACAATCATTGACTATATATTTGTGTTTATTCTACTATATTTTGCAGGTTCCACGAACTATAAAAATATGGTTGACGCCAAAATGAACTATAAAATATAGTGAGATTATAGTTAATTCAACTATATTTTTCTATCAGTGCAGCGACGCGCGATCGTGCGACGACGCGAGAGTTTCCTAGAATATTTGGAAAGGAAGCTTTGCAGAAAGTTTGCGGAGAGATTTGCAGAGAACATTGGTATCCGTGTCCGGAAGAACCCGACAGAGTGTGTCGATGGACTACCTGTCGGTGATCTTTGGAATTTGGAATGAATAGACTTCGAAGAATTCGAGATATTCGAGAACTGTATCGGTCCGGGAAATTGGAAACTTTCAGACCTGAGATCTCCAAGGATTTCTACGCTCGCGACCGATATTCTCACTCATTTCGAATATTTCAAACGGTTTGTGGTTGTGGTTGAATAGTTTCTGTTCTCCCTACCCCTCTCTCTCTCTCTCTCTCTCTCTCTCTCTCTCTCTCTCTCTCTCTCTCTCTCTCTCTCTCTCTCTCTCTCTCTCTCTTTCTCTCTCTCTCTCTCGCTTTACCATGACTAATTGTCAGGTAGTAAAAATTTAGTGTTCTGCAACTGTAATCGCTCCCGGTACCGATATTACTGCTGCAAAATCTTTTGCTCGTATCTTTGTTTACCGAAGAGTAAGTAAAAGAAGACAGCGGATCGTCAACTACGATGTTATCTATAATCCGTCAGCAGATTAATCACTCATTAAGGCTCATGATCTAAATATCTCGCATGATGGTCCTTGTTCGAAAACGACCTAGCCATAGGAAGGCGGAAAAAGAGAGACATGGGGAAGAAGAAGCGGAGAGAAGAGGATGCGCCTGCGAGAGGGGGGATGAGGCCTGAATTGCAGGCCTTAACTTCGTATGCTTTCGACCTGGACGGTTAGTACGCACTGAACAGTGCGACTCGAAAAGCTCCGCGCGACACGCGCGACAGAGATCGAAGGAGAGCGGATCGAGCTTCGAGGTGTACGTTGATCGAAGTTGCAAAATCGCGCGGGACCTTTCGTCGAGGGAGCGTAGCATGAGGAATTGTCGGGGTTTCCCAAAAAATATACACAACGTTCACGAGTCTGTGTCGAACGTAACGATGTGACCGTTAGACTTTCTCAGTTCGTCTCGTCTCGTCTGGTCTCGTACAAGCGATTGTGTTATCACACATACAGCGTCGTAGTCGCCGCATTTTATGCATGCGGATATTGTTGTGGTGGTGATTAAGAGGGCGTGGATCCGAAAAAGCGGAGAGCACGTGTGAAGAGGTACGTGGTAATTACACCGAAGAGATCGAGCACATGTCGTGATGTGACCGAATGTGATCGATTGTACGGCGAGATCGCTCGATAAAGTACTTAACGTTTAGTTAAAAAGATATCAATATTTAATTAAAAAGATATTAAAATGTTTTACCCGTATCATGTCGATGTCGCATCGAACTCTCGGTGATTAAATTTCAGAGTAAATTCGTGTGAAACGAAATCATTTGGAAAAAAAAAGAGAAAGAAGAAGGAAAAGATACGCGCAAGAAGGAATGAGTCTCAGAGAGATTTGATGGCATTTCAAAGCGCGAATTTTGATCGTTAAATTTCTATCTATCGTTGAATCTTCAAAGTCTCAGTGTCTCGCTCTGCGCGATTCTATAGAAAATCGCGGGAACCTCTTTCGTCGCTACACAGAATATATGCTACATATGCACATATGTACATATGCGCGTATATTTAATTTTATTTTTCTATATATAACAAAAATCTCACTGTGCTCGAAATAGCTGTGATATCGCGTGAAATTGATCACCTCGGTGAATTGGTCGAAGAATCGCGTTCCCGGCTGCTTCATTGTCAAAAAAATACGCATCCCTCGGGGTCTATCGTGCACTGCTTAATTGTCGCTAACAACCCTCATCGTCGTGATCTTATTGGGCGATCTTTTTTCTCGGCGAAGGCACGGTGTTGAGTTTCGGACGAATACCTCTCCGCGTGAGAGAAAAAAGAACGAAACGGAGGAAGAGCAGACGGAGAGGAGACCTGCGAAATCTACGAGAATACTATATCTTCTATTTTTGAGGCGACCACTTCTCGCACTCCCCCCCTCTCTCTCTCTCTCTCTCTCTCTCTCTCTCTCTCGTCTCGACATTGAATTTAAATCCTGACTATCACGCACAGAGATTAACGTTCGGGCTTCGCGTCGTCCTCGCGTAGATTGCGTTACCTCGCGTTGCACGCGACATAACGGTGCATCGCGCGCATCGCCGGCGGATGCGTCAAAGAGACCAGTCGACAATGGCAATCGGACGTGATAATTCGCGTTTCAATAGCACACGCGCTAGACGCATCGTGAAATCTATCACGATTGCGGGTTAGATTGTGATGTCATCAATGGGACAACGCTCGAAGATTTCGCTGCGCTCCGCTTCGCGACTCCACGTTGCGATCCTCGACGTGCCGGCCCCGCAGAGGCTCGACAGGATCTCTCTCCGTTGAGAAGTGCGCACTTTTTTTCCAATGCACGTGTTTCTTCGAGACGTCTTCAACTACCTTCCCTTCGTTAAGTATTACGCAATTTTGTAGCCGGATTGGTCTCAAATTTCTCCATTTTTCGCAACGCACGCACATTCTACGATCAAGTGGAAAGAGAATACAGTCTTGGCGGGGATTGCTACAATAATGGACAACTGCAAGGTTGTCCAAGGTTAATGACCACTTGAGACACATACCGTCGGAATTTGTTCTCAGAAAGTCACTTCCTGTGACTTACTGTGTCACTTACTGTGCGTACATACAAATGTAACTTTTAGAGAAACGCCTCGCGACGGTACTTTTGTAACGCGCGCAAGCCGAGACACGCAGCGAGAAGCAGACGCGACAACGGCGGGAACAAACGACCGATTGTAATTGTCGCTGATTCAATTTTTATCATCTTTTCCTACGCGGTCCAGCGTTCTATATTTAACGCGCATCTCGCGAGCCGAGCGAGAAAGATGCAGCCGCGCGGATGAGAGACGCGCGATAGAGCACGCGGCGGCTGAAAAGAGAGCGTGCATTCTTCTCCCGTGGACGCACCCAAGTGCATTTTCTGTTTCACGACGATTTCTCACGCTCATATATTTCAAACCGTCTCTCTCAAACGTTGCATCACGTCGTAATCGCGCGTAAACCCGGTTGCGACATTCGTCGATATTTGTATCAGTTAACAATGTTGGGCGATGCCCATCATTGCCCGCGTAAATGATCATGAACTGGTGAAAGCATTCGCCGGGCCGATTGGGCCCGACCACGAGAAGGGCGTCATCGGGGACGTATGTGTGTGTGACATCGGCGAACCGCCTGCGGATCGATTCCGCGTGATAATGGCGGAGGCGCGGAAGCGAGCGAGCGGGCGAGCGCGCGCGCGTTAAACCGCCGGAGAAATCTATTTTCGCCGACGGCTTCGCGCCGCTTCGTTTGTTTTTGCCGGAATAATACGCGTCCAGTTTCCCGCACTTGTCGCGCACGTGCGTGTCTGCGTGTCGATAAACTCCGTTAGGAATCTCCGCTGCATGGATTATCCTCGAGACACCAGGCACGAGATCGCATCTCGGAGACTCGATCGCTCTCCTACAGGTTGTTCCACGTTTCCCGTGCCACGTTCCCGCCGGAAATTCCCGGATGTTGACCCGAGCGAGCCGCGTTCGGCGATCGAAGCGCGGGGGGGGGGGGCGTGGGAGAAGCCGCGAGTGCGGTTATCATCGGGGTGAATCGTGGCGCGGTAGCCGCGACTTTTGATTGCGAGAGTGTCGCGCGCGCCTTTCTTTTGCATCGCGCGTGACGTTGCAATTAAAATGTCTTCAAGCGCGAAGCGACAATGAGACGTCTGCGGTCACTCGATCGCGCGAGCAAATATCCTCTCCTCACCGTAATACATGTTGATTTATGGACGGCGTTAAAGCAATTTTTTTGTAACGTCATGCACGATTAAGAGGCGATCGATGCTCGCTGTTGCCTTCATCAGGTCGATATACAACGCTTGACTTCTTATTCCCGAACAATCTACCGTTCCCTTCTCGAGGCTCGAGTCGTCCTTTCACGCGGAGAACACGTACCGACAGCCTGTTGTCGGCGGCGACACGTACCGCGGAAATACGTCGGCAGAATTTGTAAACTGTGTGACCTTTGTGTGCCTTCTATGATATTACAATTACAGATTATTATTCCTGATGTACGACGTTGTCTCTTCATAATAAGGCAATAACCGCCGACGGTTAAGTAAAGTGACGGCCGAACTGTAAACTTCGTCCCTTCCAATTCAATTTAGCTTAGCGTTTATGCGGACGTGCGATGGTGATGTTTCTTCTACATTAGAAAATAATATTTAGTATCTCTAACAAAACTGTTTAGTTGAGGCATTTTTTAATAGCAACCAAATATCTTGTTTTACATAACAAAATATTTAGTTGTCTCAACTAAATATATCTTTCTGCTTTGTTCTCTGGACCAAATGATTTTCTTCTTAGACTTCATATATAAAAATTAAGCATTTTAGTTATCTTATCCATAAAAATTACATAATAATGAAATATTATTTTACGTAAACTAAAAATGCCCAATGAATACTATTTTGTCTTCCTGTGCACTAAAATTTAGATTTTATATATTAAGAAAAAATTATAGTATATTTTTAACAAAATTCATATAGTTAAAGCTTTTTACCTTTTGCTGTAACAAAAGTATTACGTTATACGAACAAACCGTAATCAAACAAAATATTTGTTTACAGGAACTAAACAGTTTTGTTGGGCATATTTTAACCAAATTATTTTGTTGTTACAACAAAATTTTGGTTCACGCAACAATACATTTTTCCTAGTGTAATAAGCAGGGAATCCGTCCACTTGACGCGATACCGAAGGCTTTTAATAAATCACTCTGTCGCGACGAGCAATTCGCAACATGCATGAACCGTCGGCGCTTCGATTGTTGCGTCAAGCTCGCTTTGTCGCGAGGCGCATTAAATTATTACCGGTTATCTGCAGCGGTTATTTTCGCGGATTTGCCATTGAGATACCCCACCGGTGCTTTTCCAGGACACGACTCGTAAAAGGCATGCATAAAGGTAGCTACCGCTATTTAGCAATTGCGACCAATGGGATTTATTGCGCTTTCGTAATGGCCCGATCGTCAATTCCTCATTGTTCCTTATTGTTCGATGAGATAACGCCGCGCGCGCGTGGATTATCGATCGAACGATAATTACAACGCTCGCGATCGGGAATCGACGGGAACAGCCGATTTCGCGCCGCAAAAACCTACATTATTGGGGATGCGTGTATACGGATCGCTTCTGAAACGGCGTTCTAAAAAGCGACCGCGGCGGTGAAAACACGCGGGACGGGAGTCGCGCACAAGTCTGGAAAGTCTCTTCTCCGAGTCTTGTCACCGTTTCTCCTTTCCCGACACTCTTGAGAAACCGTTGTCAAGTAGCGAGCGAATACCTCACCGTATACGCTTTATGTCCCGAAAAGTATAAGGGTATGCGCGTGCGCGCGCGCGTTCGAAAGTCATAACACGCGCGTCCCGGAACAACGAGCATCATGCTCGTATTATTATTAATGTAAATGACGCAGGGTTAAACGGCCATGAGAGAGAGAGAGAGAGAGAGAGAGAGAGAGAGAAAGAGAGAGAGAGAAAGAGATAGAGAATCCGGATAGACGTGTCGGACCTCGATTAAGCGCACACGCGGTTAACGTGAGACAGAGAGAACGACAACGTTGTGCAACGTTCAATGCACGAGAAGGGCGCATAACAGTCACATAAACGGAAACGACGTCGTTGCATATGCATACATGTAAAAAGCACGAAAGCCGCAGGAGAGAACAATAAAGCGAGGTCTTCGGTATGAATCAAACTTTTTTTGTCGTTTAACGCTTTTGCCAACTCAGCTGTGCAACGACGTGGGTTTGCGGTCGCGCGCTATCAGTGAGAAAATAAACGTTGAGAATATAGAGAGAGAGAGGCTTTATCTTCCCGAAGCGATTTTAACCTAGATTAAAAAAAAAACGAGGAGAACAGAAGCGAAGATTTTTTATGTTAAGAAGAGTCTATGGAGTGCCGTTTTCAGTTCAAACTTTCCGAAAGTGTACGTTAAAGATCGGGTGTGATCTTCGTTAAGAACGCTTGTCGGAGAATAATTAAAATATTTTATTTAACTCGTAATGTACACATACACACATATACGTAGACGTACAATACATTTGAGAAATGTTGCACGTATCGTAAGTGCGCGCAGAGAGAAGTAGGAGAGACGCTTCAATTAGTTTCAATTTGTTTCAGTAAGAGACAATGGCTTCGACGGGGGAAGCATATTTGGAAGCCATGGAGCCTATCGAGAGAGGGTAAGACTCTCAATCTCTTTCGATTGCTGATGCGTTTCTTCATCTTTACGTCTTTCTTCATCATAATTTTTATTTATTCGTATTTTCAGAAACGCGGGATTCTGCAAACTGCTGTTAAGGTTCCTAGCTATTTACTGGCGATCCATTATCGTGATGGTATGGCCAGTGATTCTGATCCCGATACTGATAGTCGAGTATGAGAATGTAAGTATCCGAAATACGCTGACATTTTATACCTAATGATCTCTCCTGCGAAATATCGCATGCATAAAAACTTGCAAACAACCTGATAAGTACTTTGTGCATACACGTAGCCCCTCGCCATGCGATGTTTATACGTCGTCGCGCTGATGGCGATGTTCTGGGTGACAGAAGTTCTACCGTTACCCATCACGGGTCTGATTCCGGTGGTCCTGTATCCACTGATGGGTATTATGTCCACCAGCGAGACTTGTCTGTGTTACATGAACGATACCACGATGATGTTCCTGGGGAGTCTGGTAATAGCGGTGGTCATCGAGAATTCCGGTCTGCACATGCGGGTGGCATTGCTCATTATCAAGACTATAGGCTGCAGTCATCGGAGGTACTATTGTTATCGCGCGTCACAGCCATTTGATACTACAGACGCACGAGAGATTTCACGCTAATTAAATCAAGAGAAAAACATCGCCTCACATTTATTTTCATCTTTGCACGCTTTGCATCTCATATTGACTCCCGTGCATATTTTGCCCTCAGGTTAACTTTAGGCTTATTTTTCGTAACAATGTTCATCTCAATGTGGATCTCCAACACCGCCGCTACGGCCATGATGATACCCATAATGGAAACTGTCCTCATGGAGCTTCAAGCAGTAAGTTTCTACTTCTTCTTTTCTGTACTGGAGATCTTTAATTAATGCTCTCTTTCTCTCGTAGCAAGGACTCGGGAACATGTTCATTCCAGATGAAAATGTAACAGACGAGGAGAACTGCGAAACGTGAGTATTTGTCGTACATCTTCCTCTTACTTTATTTTCTGTATCCTCTGAACCAGCCAATTTCTAAGTGTTAATACTCAAATAAAAGTGTTGAAATTTTTAATATTTTTTCTAGGTCTAAAAAGCCAACACATACTACTATGGTGTATTATCTCGTCGCAACTTATGCGTCTAGCCTCGGTGGTATCGGTACTATAGTCGGATCTGGGACCAATCTGACGTTGAAAGGCTTTCTTGAGAAGTACGTACCAGTAGTGGACACTTTCGCAATTAAAACAAGTCATATTATTCACGTGGAATCTTATCTGTTATGGCAATCCAGTCTTTAAAAATAAAATTGAGGCTGTCTCTTTCGAGGAAGAATTAATATTATACTTGAGATGACATCAAATCTCACATCTCAAACAAATCTCGCATTTGTTCCCAGACGCTTTCCTGAGAGCCCTGGTATAAATTTCGCTTCTTGGATGCTCTATGCGGTACCACCTATGTTGCTGATGGGCCTTTTCACGTGGTTGTGGCTGCAAGTGATGTACATGGGTCTCTTTAGACCGAAGAGCAAAGATGCTCGCGCTATAGATATTGGGAAACAGGGTGAACGAGTTGCAGCGGCTGTAATCGAGAAGAAATACAAAGAACTCGGATCGATCACATGGCACGAGTCTGCCGTGGGTGTTCTATTTGTCATTGTAGTCATTCTATGGTTCTTCAGGAGCCCTGGATTCATGGACGGTTGGCCTACTTACATCACGAAATTGTGAGTATCCAATGGCACATTCCATATAATCTTCTAATTAACAAAATTTTGTTATAACGCGCTCCCAATTTTAGAGTACGAATAGATGACTCGTATTTCATTTAAATTCACAGGAGCGTCAAGGACTCGACGGCAGCCGTGTTCGTAACGATAGTATTTTTCATTCTTCCGGCAAAGTTAGACTTTTTACATGCGTTCGACAAGGACCCTACTCAACGGCCTACCCAACCATCTCCTGGTCTCATAACTTGGAAAACAATACATCAGAAGATGCATTGGAGTTTAATAATGGTGTTGGGCGGTGGGTTTGCTATCTCAGCTGGCAGCACCTCCTCAGGACTATCAGAGATGCTTGGTCAGTCCTTGTCGGGTTTGCAGAAGATTAATGTGGTGGCGATATTAGTAATTGTTTGTTTATTCGCCGAGACTGTGACGGAATTAACTGCCAATGTGGCTGTAGCAAACATCATATTGCCAGTATTAGCGGAAATGGTAAGTACGGATGCGATGATAAAGGACAGTGTCCTTAAATTTTCCTATTTGATAAGATTTGGATATTCTCTTGGCAAATATCTTGACGTTGTTCAACTCGACCAGTATTATTCATATCTTAAAATTATTCTTAGTTCACTTTTCAAGTTTACAATTGACTTCTTTATTTCCAGTGTGTGGCAATCAAGATACATCCCTTGTATCTAATGCTGCCAGCGTCTCTCTGTTGCTCGTTTTCGTTTCATCTGCCAGTCGGTACTCCACCGAACGCAATTGCCTGTGCCGCCGGACATATAAGGACGAAGGATTTCATGTTCGCTGGCATTGGACCCAGCATTGTCACGCTCATCGTCACTGTGGCGACATTCCCCACATGGGGCACATATGTATTTAACCTATCGCAGTTTCCCGAGTGGGCGGTATAATGCGATAATACACGCCATAGTTTCATGTTCTATTTATTTTTGTTCCATTGATGTAAACATAACTAAAGCAACGACAAATATTTGTGTATAAATACACATAAACATTTTCATCTTGCCTAATATGTTAATTTTCTTCTTACAAATCCTAAATTCTAAATATATATATTACTGTAATGCATTCAATGTAACTTGAGCCACCAGTGGTTCAAGATATACGAACTGATGTTGTCACCCAGTGAAAAAGCATATTAAATTTTGGACTGAATTGAAAGGTATAAATTGAAATTGAAGAATAAATCTGTGCGATTGTGAGTGAACATTTGTAGAAAGAAAAGTATGTTAAAATAATTGAGAATCAACCTATGGTTTGTACATTGATAATTCAAATTGTTCATGTGATGGACATGAATCTTGTATTTGGTACAGTACAGTAATCTTGTACTTAGTACAGTACAGTAATTGTACAGTAATCTTGGACAATATCTTGTACACATGTAAAATATCATATTGGAATAACTTTGTACTTTGGATATTGTTTTCCAGATATATTTTATATGTATATATATAATAATAAGTTTCTGAATGAAGAATTTAAATATTCTAATGAGAGTCTTCCTCTCACATGTTTAATCATGTATCTACCATAATAACAATGATTAATATTTATATTATTAAAAAATCAACAATATATTGGTACATGTTAAGGCACGGTAATGTAACATTCCAAGGTGTGATGCTACGATATTCTATATGCCAAACATTGCAATATGAGATATTATTAAAGCCATGACCAAATAATATTATATTTATATAATTGTTACTCACCATCTACGTTAGAATCACGATTGATGCTTTCCACTTTTTCCGTCATTTTGTTAATCTTGTAATTATTCCCAATGATAAAGTCAGTAGACACTGATTTCGATCAGTAATGTTTCATCCAAAAGCCTACAGCAAAATTAAAATGGTTTGTGATACACGAAATCGCTCAAGGAAATTTATTAGGGAAGATTAAATATAACCTTCACGATTGAGATATAACCTAAAAAATGTCACGATTTATCATATACATGCAATAACAATAATAATATAACAAAAGCACGCGTTGATGATAAAATACATATCTCGTGTTGTTTTGCTGCGGGAAAACGTTACGAATATGCGATATTTCCAGTACTTACGTCAATACGAACACAAAATTTCATGATTGACCGATAAACCGCGACAAGTGTACCGAGTGCACCGAACACGAAAACGTTACAAATGCTTCGAGTACACTCGTGAACTAAAAGGTATGTGCACCGATTTTTTGTTGACTTCGGAACGCACTCCAACTTGAGGAGAAAGACAACCACTGCTTCATACGTCAACGCTGTCACTTATTACGAGAGCAGAAGGATGGCATATACGAGTGTCAAATAAGTAGTGATTGTGGCGTAGACACAAATGTCTTGGAGACTTTGAGTTATAATTGAAGAAATGAAGAAAACAAATAGTGATTGTGAAGAAAAGTGGCAAAAGGCTTCATAAAATTTGTAAAACAGCATATTAAAGGAGAATATTAATTGTCTAATAATATTTTAAGTGAAAAATATTTTTTATAGATATAAAAAATAATATTATAGCTATAAATTTGTCTTCGACGTTAAATGAATATGTATGTAATGCTATCATTTATATAGGTGGAAAATTATGTTATTGCGCTCATAAAAAATAAGCAGCAGACCAAGTCGAATGATATTTTTTTAACAAGATACTCATATCACTCAACTTGGTCTGCTGCTTACTTCTGCTGAACACAATAATATAATTCCTCACCTATGAAAATAATAGCATTATATATATATTTATTCAACGTTGATGACAAATTTATTAACGAAAATAAATTTATTAAAGACATTATTTATAACTTTTTTAACTTACACTCAATTTTAAAAATATTTTTTACTTAAAATATTATTAGACAATTAATATTCTCCTTTAATATGCTGTTTTACAAATTTTATGAAGCCTTTTGCCACTTTTCTTCACAATCACTTATATTTGTTTTCTTCATTTCTTCAATTATAACTCAAAGTCTTCAAGACATTTGTGTCTACGCCACAATCACTACTTATTTGACACTCATATATGCCATCCTTCTGCCTCGTAATAAGTGACAGCACTGACGTATGAAGCAGTGGTTGTTTTTCTCCTCAAATTGGAGCGCGTTCCGAAGTCAACAAAAAATCGGTGCACATACCTTTTAGTTCACGAGTGTACATGTGCGCATTTGGTCTGTTCTTTATAGCTGCACTGCTGAACTAGTGCAATAAGTTAGAATGAGAAAAAATATAGTTGTCTCATTTTAACTTATTGCACTAGTTCAGCAGTGCAGCTATAAAGAACAGACTCCTTGAGTGAGCGAACCGTAGTCTAAGCACTTTGAATCATACGAAGCCTATTGCAATTGAAATACATTCAAGTACAGATGAAACGACTTACAAGTGAAACGAGTTTCCTCTATTCGTTACATGATACTGAAAATCGGTTACTTTCCTCTTCGAAAGGAGGCAATTTGCACCTAATAAACTCATGCTGCGTTCCAATATTCACTATCAGTACTGAAAATCTATAGTAAATGTGACATATGTGGTCTGTTCTTTTCAGCTGCACTGCGGAACTGGTGCAATAAGTTAGAATGAGACAACTATATTTTTTCTCACTTTAACTTATTGCACCAGTTCAGTAGTGCAGCTGAAAAGAACAGACCACAGGTCTGTTCTTTGTAGCTGCACTATTGAACTGGTGCAATAAGTTAAAGTGAGACAAATATAGGTTTTCTCATTCTAACTTATTACACCAGTTCAGCAGTGCAGCTACAAAGAGCAGACCAATAAACTATGTATCTTCAGTACTGTCAGTTCAATTCAATTCAATTCAATTCAATAAATGGCTCTGGGCAAAATAGAGTACTGCTCTAACGCCACTCTCAGTAGATAAATTAAATTCTGTAAGGCTATTTTCCAGTAGTATGGAGGTAAAAAAAAAACAGGGACGCGTACGCAATCCCTATGATCAAAAAATATGCGTAATAGCCGTATCACACTAGCGACTCGCGACTGCGGCTGCGGCTGCGATTGCAATTGCGACTCTTCCTCGACCAATCAGAAAGCAGCGACTCGCGGCTGCGACTCACGACTGTCGTTTGGACGGCTGTCCATTTTTCGAGTCACAGCCGCAGTCGCAACCAATCATAGAACTCCGTATAATTACGTGACGCGCTCGTCATAATCACATTTATTTAAAGACCATTGCACGTAAAAAAATTTTAGTCGTAACCGTAAGACCGTAAGTAAATTGACCAATCATAATCCAGCATCTCGAAATATGCGAATTGTGATTGGTCAATTTGCTTACGGACTTACGGTTATGACTAAAACTTTTGTACGTGCAATGGCCTTAATAGTATGTAGAAGTCGGTGATCATTTAAATAAGGTTATATCCAATGTTGTTTTATGTGTTATATACTTTTTTTTAAATGTCAAAACAATTTAATAAGGAGATAGACTATTATTTAGTATATCTCGTAGAATGTAAATCCCTTCTCTGGGATTATACGTGTGATAGTATGTTAACAGTATTTAGCCGCAGCCGCGATCGCCAATCGCAAATGTGATCGGAAAACAAGAAATCGCAATCGCAATCGCAGTCGCAGTCGCAGCCGCGAGTCGCTAGTGTGATACGGTCTTAACGTTACAGGAACTACATCCGACCGCCACGGAGAGGCGAACAAGACTTCAGTACTGTCATTAAATACAGAGAGGAACGTGAGAGCGGCCAATACGGCGTTTTCGGCGACACCGACTTTCCGCACTAGGAAAGGGCGCCATCAGCATCCATTTTGAGAGGGGAACTACAATGCTACATCCACTTTCGGCGGTAAAACCTGCATGTACTGGCAGTCCGTGCTACATCCATTTTCAGGCGGTTTATGTCCTACATACGTGCTACAATCATAATAGCGTACTTGACAAGCACGGTCTCGCACATTGTTACGCGTTTATAACATGAATTAACATGTTAACATGTGCAAAAAAAAAAGAATTGACATTGTGTATGATTAATATCATGAAAATCATATGAAGTGTCTGGTAATTAGCTGCCAACCCGAAGCGTTGGCGAGGGTAGATTGGGTTGAGACAAACATAAAAGTCCCATACTGTTTTGCGAGATTCGCAATAATTATCGAGTTATTAATGACAGAAATCTGAGGAGTAGGAACGCGCCGACACAAATAATTGGAGAAGCGTTGCAGCTGCTCAGGGCAGCGATCAGGAATCTTTTCCCTAGTGTGAACTAATGAAAAGTGACAGACTTTTGTGAATTAGTAAAAAATGAAAAATTTTATATGAATTTGTGAAAATCGAAACATTTCACGCGACAATTGAGTCGTTCAACATGGCAGTTGCGTTCTGGATAATTCTTAATGAATATCAAAGAAATCAAAATGATCAAAATAATAATGTCGGTGTAGTCCGAAGGATATTACGTGACACGCAAAATCCGTTTGATATAATATCCAAAGAAAATGTTTCAAAATATGTATGTACAGGTAATATAAACCTTATGCACCGACGAGATACTATAAAGACTGATGGCCTTACAGGATTTAGCGTACCAGAGAAATTTCCCTGGTGAGGCACCCGGGCGAAAGAGACGGGGCTAGGCGACAGAACGACGGCTGACGAGAAATATAATCTAATCGGAAATTTCAAGGTAGTACTCGCTAAATATCCCCGCTATGTCGTCGCTGCAAATTCGTGTGTGTTGTTTTCACACGCGTGAGCGTGTAATTAGCTCAAGCTTTCTTCACACGATTCTTGTGAGATTGGAAACGACAAAACTCGCCCCTCAAAAAAACCTTAGCCAATCGTACGCTCGTATGCGTATAAATAACACATTTGGATTTGCATCTCGAATCTTTCGAAAAAAATCGATACTTGCTCTTCAGGTTCTCACAGAGAACGTCTAAAAATCTCCCTCAAACAAGCAGTATCTGATCTTGAAATTTTCATGGATCCCGAAACTTGTAAAGCGCAAGTTGGAGGAATGAAAATAGTTTTCTTCGCGGTATTTCATTTCAAGATGGTACGTGCGCTAAGTATTCTCCACGTGCAACATTTTTCGCAGACACGTCTCGGGACATTTTTTACCAAGCACGAGCGACGAACTTGCGTAAAAGAGCTGAAAAACTTTACGAGACATATCGTTCAGAAGACAAAGGTTATCCGCGGATGTCACTTTCCCCATACTTATCCGCAAAAATGATTGTAATGCGGATTAAACAGCCGCGGGAGCAGCTGCGAAAGGAAAATCCATGCGGATTTTACGACCTCACCAGCAGCAGGCTTTGATTTTTTCTCGTCTTTATCATCGACGAAAAAAGCGCCCATTTTAAAGAGCGATCATAAAATGCGCGACTATTTTGTCACGCTTATATCATCAACTCCCGCTTCAATCTCCCACCCTCAATAGAGTCTCAACGCACGATCAAGCGCGAGTTATGAAGATTCAGTTTCCGTGAAGAAACTAGTCGGGTGACGTTCGCAGTCGCGGTGGAATTTAACGCTCGTGTTCGCAAAGGTCTAACATTCTACTCGCCAAGGGACGCCATCGCCCCTCTTTTCACAACAGTGCGGATGTTTAACTTCTTTCTTCCTTATTTTCCACGACAACGATACCGCGACGAGGCCCTAACGAGGCAAGTTCGTTTATAACCAGCGTTTATGTCAAGAGCGCTTCTCGGGAACATTCAGCTCGAGGGATTAGTCCGCGATAGAAAGTTCCTTGCGACCGGAGGCCGCTGTGATTGAAAGTTAAATTGCAGCAACAGTATTGTTATCGGGCAGCCCTGAGACGGGCTGCTGGCATCCGTCCGTGACATCTGCCGTGCACCTTTGTGATTACCCGCAAATTCACAGTCTTCTTGATTGCTCGCGCGATTTCGAGTGGTCATAATATATGGCGATAATACATGGCAATATGTGGCAATAATATATGGCAACAATATACGGCAATAATATATGGCAACAATATATAGCAACAATATATAGCAACAATATATGGCAATAATATATGGCCATAATATATGGTAATAATTCATGAAATAAATTTTTCGTTACTAAAGTCAATGCAAATTTGCGGCATGCACAATGTAATAATAAAAGAGCTCTCTGCGAGCATTGAGTCAAACGCTCACCGATGATGATATTGATGATGTCCCGTTGCATCCAACCAGATCCATCAATGTCCGCCCATGTTCGCTGCCGCTCTCCATGTCGCGCAGCATCCATCTTGCAGCTCATCAACATCCCA